CCCATAAGACTAAGCAAAAACGTGTGACTAATTTAGATAAGAAGAAACACTAAGTTAAGTCAGTCTATAGTGTTGGGACGATCTCTGCAAGTTTTTTAATCAGAGCCTCGGAGCCCTGCATGATAAGACTAGAGTATACGTGCAGCAAAAGTCTTGTAGCAGACCGTGTCGTCTATAATGCTGGAGAAGTCTGGAAATGTAGCAAATCTACGGTCTTGTGCTCTAAAATATCATGACTAATGTGGCAGAGGACATTGCACAAGGTGCGTTCATCTTAGTCTCTAACAGATGCAGGTTGCCAAAACGAAATCAAATCATTTCTATATAGCGAAAAGAGAGACTGCGACCAAACCAGCTTGGTCTTCTTATCTGCAATAAAATTATGTATTGGTTATAGGCCTTGGACCTGTCTTCATCGTGTCTCGCAACGTGTAAGCTATGGGGGAAGGATGCCGTCAGACACACTTGGAACAGGCTTAATCACAAAAGGCCTAGTGAACAATAAGTTTGGCAGGCATGCTGTTAAACTGGAAGATCGAAGTATAAATCTCAGCTCTTTTAGGATAATAAGACAATTTAAAGTAAAGCTCATCAGAACGTTGAGTATTAGATCTTGCATGTCTTTAACTTCCAATTTTCAGGTAAAGAAAGTTTTATCTACATCAAATAATTCTGAAAGGGGTTATATCGATCTCAGAAACTTACATTTAACCTAATCCAATATTTAGGGAGCTGTCCATCAAGGTTTATATTCAAAAAAACCTAGCACATGTGCATAATTGGGCTTGCGTTATTCAAGAGGTAGTGGCCTTAGAGTTAACGCGGAATTGAAACTAGTAAATACAAAAGCAAGGCTGGAAAATTTATAAATAACGTATATATGCAACTAGGAAGAATCTAACCTGACTCATCTTCAAAGGTCTACTTCTAGGAGTGCTAGGGTTAGTAGACGTTGCCGGCATTAAGGCTGTTCCCGCTGCAGATTGATCTTCAAGCAAAGAGCGACTGTTGCGATCGTTTTTACTGTGCCTGCGAAGCCAATCGGAGCTTCGCCCTGAAGGTAGAATGGGCGTACGACTTAGTGGTCGAAGAATTGAACACCCTCCTCGATCGGCAACGCTTGGGGCCAAAGAAAAAGAGCCAGCAGCACTATTAATGGCAGTATCAGAAGCTAGAGCAGAGCAATCAGCATTCACAGAAATGGAGGAAACAATTTGGGCGCTTCGAACTTCAGGAATACTGCCGATGCTAGCTGTTTCGGCAGCTGTGCCGTTGGCGGAAGCAGAATGAAGTGAACCAAATGGAGAGCCTCTCACCAGAGGGACTGAAGGGCTGCAAATCGGAGTGGCAACAACAAGGTCACGGGATTTAACAGAGCCCAATGTTCCATTGTAATGAATCGCTACGTCAGGATGACCTTGAGGCTTAGAAGGCAGAAGAGTGTGAGAGGGTGGCTCCGCCGCAGTTAAGGTTGCAGTTGAATCTGATTACAGGTAAGGATTATAAAGGGATGAGTAGAGGAATATATTTTTGGTTTTGGGGAAAATATAGATAAGCGGGTTTACAGGAGAAGCAGGGGAAAGGGGAATTAAGCTAGCTAAGAGGCCAGGTAAAAGGTGCAGGGAATAGGTGCATTAATTTTGGCAAAAAGAGAAACAATATCGCAATATTTAACCTAAACTAGTATCGCCCAGGTCGATTATATGCTGTCATTTGCAATTCTATGCTAAAATGCAGTGTGACAAATTCCATATTCGCTCGAGACAGACATTTTAGACACATAATGAGGGCAAATTGAACTCATCCTTGATATGAAAAAATATAGGATCAAAAAGCATATGTTTTGAAGCGTGTCAGAACATAAATACTGAACTTAAGCAGATTTACTTGCATCATAGGAAGATGAATAAAGAATAAAATAAGTGTAGGTTTTACTAAATTTGCATTTTCAACGAATCCTAATCATAATAGCATATGTAGCTTAGTTGATAGAAAGAAGCCAAACTTCTAGCATAAATACTGGTAACGATGTGAATAAGTATGCATTTAGTTAGCATCGTGATCAGGTCCAAAAAATAAACGTTTGGTTACCATTTACATAGACTGAGATGCATTCAGACAGTTACGAACGAAAATTCAGAAGAATTTAAAATTCAAATGGTGAGTAACTAGCAGACAGACTGATTCATTGATTGAACTTTGTGATCAAAGGAGACGGATAAGAAGGTGGACAGAGTTAAGGAGAAACTCATGGATTAGCAATCAATAAGAGAAGCTAGTTGAAAAACAGAAAGAAGAAAAAGACGAAAAAGAGAAGGAAGAAATAAGAAAGACGACGACGACGACGAACAGGGCATTAAATGAAAAAATAGATATATAGGAAACCTATAAACTTTGAACTAAGTAGAACAAAGCATAGGATTAAGGGTTAAAATTTTTGAAAAAAAGTAAAGCGTTATGATTAGAAACGTGAGTAGTGTTAAAATAACGAGGCCTATAGCGAATATGAGTTTATGTGGTTACATCTTCATCGATATGATAAGAGTAAATTAATTCTTACGAAGAAAGAGTTTCCACCTAAAATTAATAAAACAAATTAAATTAATGAAGAAAAGAAGATGATTAAACATGCAGACTAATTCGCACTATAAAAAATCAACATTAATTGTGCGATTTCGATTAATTTAGTCGCGTATTTACTGCTACGTCAAGCTGTATAATGGCAAGATTAAGAAACTAATAGAGCAAAATGAAATCAGAAAAAAGGATACATATCGCAACAAGAATTTACTGATAAAATCAAGATCACTTACCTTGTTCTGAAATGTGACCAATTGATTCACTCCTGTGTGAATTAGCAAGGGTTTCCGACTTAGAAGAAGCCAATAATTTTTCCGAAAAAGCAGATCTGCGTTTGGATAAAAAGTAATATTGATTAAAACATTTA